TATATTAGGTTCCCGGTTTTATTTGCTTGTTCATTCAAATAATCAAACTTGAATCGCTCTGTTGTGACAACAAAAGCAATAGTGTTATTTGACAGGGCATTTATTTGGTACAAAGCAACATTTTCATGGGAAATGACATCATCACCTCATCTTTGAGTAGAGCAGCTTTTCATTGTTCACCAGTATGACATAATGTAAGTGAACTCAGACTATATTTCCTTGTTCTTTCATCAAGTACTAAATAAATTGTTTTGTTGTGACAACACAATAAAATATTTACCCAAGAAGTAATTTGTTGTACAGTGTAGAAAACTTGTTAACTCAGTTAGCATTAAAGTCAAGCTAATGTTTTAAAGCTGCTACTAAATGTGCTGCTAGTTTACCTGCTGATAAGCCACTGTTTCCTCAACATGAGCTCCTCATCATTCAGAATGTAAACCTTGATTTTCCAGAAGCTCAGTGTCTCTAAGAAGAGGATCTAGAATAGAACTATATCCTATAATCCAAAAGTCACTGCTGTAACACAAGAGCTCTGGATATACAGGATGTTGACGGTGAGCTGTACTTAATAGGCCACAACTCATGTATTCAGGTATCTTGAATTGTTTCTGCATTTTCTCTCTTTTTTAAAAGTAAACTCAGACCATGTTGAACAGGAGTAAACTCAGACTCCAGACTGAGGCAGAACAGCTCTGATACTAAATATCCACTCAGGACAATAATCCACATTATTATCAGGGCCAGCACTTATAATTATTCCATTTGATTGTATTTACAGTTTTTCTTGATTGCTTACACACCTCAGGACACGGTGTCAAAGCTCCCAAATTCTCACATTCACATTCTCAAAACACTAAACACACACATTTAGCAGATTCTCTCATATGGAGAGTAAATGAGCCACTGACTACAAAATCATAAAATATAGTTATAGCTCAATAGCTCTGACCTAGCCACGCCCCTACAGCTGACCAATCAATATCCAGGCCACTGGAACACTCAGAGCTAAAACACACAGATTAACACAGACTGAAGGTAAAAGAGCTTCCAGTTTATGTTAGAAGTCAGTTTCGAGATGTTTATCGCTGATCTCGGTCTTTCTGTTCTGTCAGTTCGCTTCCTCTCGTTTACCTATTTGTCAGTTAAATGTGTTGACTCGCCCCCTTAAGAAGCGAAGCCCTACGGAGCCCCGGAGGGGACAGAGGTAAAAATAAAAACTATTTTGAGTGAACGTGTTGTGATTCGTATGCATGTTTACTTTTCTTTGTGGTCACGATTTTTTAATTCATTCCCACGATTAACAATTCGTTCTCTCGTTTTCTTTTAATAGTTTCTTTATTTCGTGATTGTCTTTTTTAATCCGTGATCGCGATTTCTTAATTTGTTCTCGTCTTCTTTTAATCGTGATCATGTTTCAAAGTGAATTAATGAAGGAAGGGAAAACATGAACTTCAGTTAAGCATCTAACAATCACAAGGACTGAGTCATGAACAGGACACACCTGTTTAAAGACATTATTAATGAGTTTTTGATTCTAGTTTATTTGTTCTTTTTCATGACTTCTATTGAGGATGATGATGATAATTAATGGCATTAATTTAGCATTAAATTGTAGTTAATGTTATTTATTATGGGGTGGAAATCTATGACAGCACACTTTTAATTACAATCTAAACTTAGAAGAAGTCACATCGTTTTCTTTTGGTTTCCTGATTAGACACTGATTTTTAATTGTATGGATGTGATGATGATTGATGATATTGATGAAAGTGATATGAATATTTAAAAATGTTGAATGTACCTTGTTATTATTAATAATTTATTTTTTATTATTATTTTATGTCTGAGCGAACACGAGAGTCATATTAGGACACCAGCGGTGACCTCAGCTCAGTGAAAGTGAAAATGCACTTCACAGCTTTAAGCTCAGAGTTTACAGTAATGATCGATTGATGATGATGATGATAATCCTCTGCTGCCACCTTGTGGAAAATAAAATGTATTACACTGATTCGATCTGTAAGAATGTGTAAGAATGATATAAACTAAATTACAGGGGAAAAGGACATTGAATTATCATGAAAAATATATTACTTTTATAAAAGTCTGGAGTGATCTGTGATTCTTCTCGATTATTATCATGTTCTTTCTTTCTCATATTACAACATAATTAAAAAGCATCCTGTTCCTCAGTTCAGTCTAATAACATCTTTAAATTTATTTATTTATACTGTTAAAACTGACCAAGTAGTGTTCCTGTGTATATGTATTTTAACTCAGAGCAGTGTGTGTGCGTCTGTGTGTGTGTGTTTGCACTTCTTGCTATCCTTGTGAGGACTACATGTCCTCACAATGACAGAACAACATGACATTTTTGCACAAGTGAGAACATTTTACTGGTTCTCTCTTAGGCACGTGTTGTTTAAAACACACATTGCTTCTTTTTTTTGGAAAAGCTAAAATAGCAGAAAAATCAGCTTTTGAATACTGAGGTCAGGATTAGTGTTAGATTTAGTATTACTTGGCAACAGTAAAAATTTAATATAAATCAATGGAAGTCCTCACTAGTCATGTAAGACAAATGTGTGTGTGTGATGGTTATCAGTGTGTGGATCAGCTCTCTGCAGGTGCAGCATTAATGTTGTATTACACTGGAGTGTTTCCTCTCTCTGAAGTCAGTCTCCTGTATGTTGGTGTGTTTCTCATCACACTGCTGCGAGCGTCTCTCCTCACACACACACCTCTAGAGACGGAGGTGGAGTTCTGTTTATCAGTGCTGACGCTCTTTTGATAAATATGGAGAAAGAAAAAAAATGCCTCCTCTGATTTGTCACTGAAAATGTTTGATGATTTCCTCTCCTCTTTCTAATAAGGTAATAGTGAGTGTGATTGGTGGCTGTGGGGAGCCTCTCTCTCTCTCTCTCTCTCTCTCTCTCTCTCTCTCTCTCTCTCTCCCTCTCTGTCTCTCTCTCAGTTTCTTCAGTCTCTCTGGGGGAGTGGAGGTGAAGTTTGTTCTGCTGCTGAGTTGAACGGACTGTGTGCAGGTCAGAGGAAGATGGACAGCTGTGTGGTACTTATCCTTCTGTCCTCCACAATCACACTCACCACAGCTGGTAAGTTCACTCTCACTAACAAATAATCAAAGATACCCCCCGGCCCTTTCTCACTCTGTCTGTGTTTCTCCCTCTCACTCTAGTTCAGTGTCACTCTGTGAGTCTGTTAAAGCCATGTTGTATTATGCTGATCTGTGGTTGTGCTCTGGATTATGGATCTGTACTTTGAACATTTTTATTTATTAAGATCAAGGACACTTCTTGAACTTCAAGAATTCGTTCTGTGTCTTAACTGTCATCTTAACAATTACTGCCATGTACACTGTGTGTGAAGTTTAGCAGGCTACATGCAACATTTTTATTTTTCCCAGAGGTCCACTTTAAGTGCTCCAAGGGGCAGCATATAGATAATAAATAACAGGAGACCTAGAACAGAGCCTTGGGGAACTACCTGAGTAACAGAAACAGTAAATAATTTGTGCCTCACAATAGTAACTTTACACAACTCAGCCTGGTATATTTGAGCCAGCTTTGTCTGATTTTTTTAGGCATGGAATAATTACTTGATACATGTAACGCTGTTATACACTTAGGATACAAAACATGTAATGGCCTTCTGTTACTGTTACTGTTACAGAAAGAAGAACAATAATCAGATATAGATTATCACATTATATCAGATTATAGATACATAAAAATAGAGCGAATACTGGCAGAATTACATTAAAAGTAGATTTATGCACCTTGTCGCCTTTCATCGAAATTCAAAATTTTGAATGATAAATATGTCACTTACATGAATCATGTAGGTTTGAGTTTTTACGTTTTTAATTTTGGGAAGGGTGGGAGTCCTGCTGCCTGCAAAGAATTCTGATTTAGAATCCCCCTTCCAGTGTAGCAGTTTATGGTCTTTTACTGGGCCAATAGAATTCTTAGAAACTATTTTGTTATTACTGGTGAATCAGATTGTTTGCAGTGTTTTCTTGAAGGTCATTAACACTAAGAACATTAACACTGGCTAACATTTTATACAGATAAAATGGAGAACGGTAAACCTGGCTAAATTTTACTCATAAAATTTCTGTATTCAGTAGTTTTTTGAACAATGGGTGCAAAAATGTTAACATATGTAATTCATGATTTTTAACTAATACAGTCAGCTTTGATTTTTTAATGTGAAGTTCATTCAAACAGCTGTAACTGCTTAGAGCTACAAACTGCTTGCTTTTCTTTTTCACTGCTCACAAGTGTGTATGTCTGAACTGACACAAATTATACACCTTTATGGTTGTAATATATTTCCATACTGAGCAACACAGATATGGCCATTAAACTAAATGTTAGATTATTGACCATTTATGTGAGTCACATATTTTCTCTTTTCATACTCACGGCCCATAAGACCCTGTGACAGTCAGGACTGCGAAAATTTTCACCAACTAACCTGGTCAATTTGAACTTTGTATCATTAATCTGACTGATCAGATTTTTAAATGTGAACTTATTAACTTTGAAAATAAAGAAGTATAATGACATTATCAGAATTTACGGTATCACTTTATTTTAGATGGTATTTTGTAGATGATTAATAAATTCTTAACAGGTTATCAGTAACACATCAACAGCATATCAGTGAAATATCAGTAGTGAAGCATCTGAATACATTGAAAAACATTGCTTGAAGATGTCCTGTTGATACATTACTTACATTAAGTAGATGTATTGTTAATATGTTACTTCTATTAATCTTACCCAACCTTACCTAAAACCCTAACCCTGGCCCAAATTCTAACCCTAACCTTAACCTCAACCCAAAACCTAACCCTAACCCCTAATATGTTTTTGACATGTTACTGAGAGTCCGTTGAGTGTTTGTTTCATCCAAAAAGGACCACTCAAAATAAAGTGTCACTGAATTCTCTCTCTGTCTCTGTCTCTGTTGTACAGTCAGTGTGAGGTTGGTGGATGGTGGCAGTCACTGTGCTGGGAGAGTGGAGGTTTTTCATGATGATCAGTGGGGAACAGTATGTAGTTATAACTGGGATATCAGAGATGCTGCAGTGGTGTGTAGAGAGATGGGCTGTGGAGAGGCTGTAGATGCACTGAGTGATGCTCACTTTGGACCAGGATCAGGACCAATCTGGATGGATGATGTGGACTGTAATGGATCAGAGTCTACACTGAAGAACTGTAGATCATCAGATTGGGGTGAACATGACTGTGATCATGATGAAGATGCTGGAGTCATTTGTTCAGGTAATCTTTGCAGTGCTTTTAGAAATAATCCTTCAATATATAATCAATTGAATCTAAATTAGGTAGATTTCACTCTACTTGGATAATTACAGGTTTGTCTTCACATGTTTTTAAACCTTTTTAAAAACAAATTCTCTTACTGTACAGTTCTGTTTTATTCATTTGGAAACACATATGATTATAGATTTATATTATAAATATATTTATATAACACATATGATTATAGATATATATTTACAAACAATTTGCTGTTTATTGTAAACAAATGTTGTAATCTCTTTTTCACATACTAATACTTAGAAGTCAGGCTGGTTGGTGGTTCTCGCTGCTCTGGGAGAGTGGAGGTGCTTCATGGAGAGACCTGGTACACAGTGTGTGATGCTGACTTTGACCAGCAGGATGCAGAGGTTGTGTGTCGAGAGCTGGGCTGTGGACTTCCTGTGGAGGTGCTGGGAGCAACTGCTTTTGGCAGAGGGGAGGGTCAGGTGTGGTCAGAGGAGCTTCAGTGTAGAGGCAACGAATCTCAGATTTACTTCTGTCCAACATCATCTTCACTCAAACACAACTGCTCCCATGACAGTGATGTGGGACTGGTGTGTGCTGGTAAGAGAGACATCTTCACTAATTAAGGGTCCAAGCACCCAAAGTACTGGATCGCTGTTGTTTTTGCTCAGATTCACAACTTATTTTTCGACCATAAAACAAAAGTCCAAACCATAAGGCCTGTTTCACACATGCCACATCTGCGTGATGTGAGCATAGTAGAAGTGTGATTGCTACACCTTGCATGCACAAACCATTCAAACATTCAAACCAAATCACAGGTATCACTGTAGAGTGGTGCATCTGTAACGAACGGGGCATGTAGGCAGATTGCATGCGCTGTGTGATTTTATTAGGGGCAATCCAAATCTCATAATCATCACAGGCATGGGTGAGAAAACGGGCAGACAACATCAGAGGCAAATTCATAGTATCAAAAATCAGGAAGCAAAGCACAGGTCAAGCAAGGAAAAATCAATACAAGACACAGGGCCTAGAACTCACAGAGACCTTGCCCACCAATAGGCCAAACAGAGGAGTATATGTAGCGGTAGTAATCCTAGGAACGAGTCACAGGCGTGTATAAAGGGGTGGAGCTAAGGAGGAGCAGGAGCTGGAATGAACCAATGCAAATTTACAAATGGAGCCTCCCCATGGGGAGAGACATTAGGACAGTGCCGCTTTGCAGCAAAAGTATAGCAAAGTGTTTTGTTTTGGCTCATAACTCCTACACGGTGAGACATACAGACATAATTCTGTGTGTGGCTGATTTATTGGCTTATACTAAACCAAAATACATCAGAAACTCAGAATGGCCTGAACAACTTTGAGATATTTCCTATATTTTCCACACTCATGCTGAGCTGCATAGCTGCCCAGCTTTAATATTGCACACTGACCCCAGACTAAAGACACTGCGGGCAGTGCATTCTGAATTCTTATTTTAAACTGTTAAGCCTGGCTAAACCTGGCTCTCTTTTTCTGAAGAAATGAAGCATAAATGAAGAGTTCATTTAATGAATTAACATAAATCATGTTTTGCTGTGCATTTCAGGAAATATCAGTCAAACTACAGTTGGGTGGATTTGATTAAGAAAAAATAACAACAAAATATGTATAGGTATCTATAAATAGGTAATTTACCAAATATCATTTTTTAGTTTAAATTTTGTTTTTTGACAAAAGCAGATAACTCCAAAGATCATTTCATGTTTCAGCCCAGTGTCGTGTCCTAAAGTGACACCAATCACCCACGCCAGACTATTTGTTAAACAAATTACTTTTTCTGTAAGTCTTACACGTCACTTACGTCTGACAAGTATTCTATCTCAAGTTTTAAAGAAGACTTCAGACGCTGGGTTCAGTTGGAGAAAATGGCTTCAATGTTAATTACAGGCTCTAGCAAAGTGCATTCTGTCTGGACATTGGTTCTGGACCCAAATGCGAATACAATGTACAGAGTTCCATGTTTTTATACACTTTTAAGAGACGAGGTAATCCCCGCTCTCAAAGATTTATCACCTTTTTGGACCCAATTAAATTTTATAGTTGTGTATTTCGTATCTAAATAATTAAAAAAGGGCAAGCTGCATCTCTGGTACCCAGCACCTCACTTGGTGCTTATCAAACACCTGTTTACACACTGGCCTCCTTGTAGCTTAAGGTTCAAAGCGTTCTTAGGAAAAAACTGCTTAGAAAAGTTCTGGTATTTTCCAACACACAGACAAGGTCTCAGGGGCTTTGGTCTCTTATGTATACTTTCCAATGCACTATGTATATACCTTTTATTAATGATGATATCCTTAATCATCATGTTTGTTCATTATGTTAGAGATTTTCATTTTAATTCATCACCAGTTAGCAAAATTTATCTGGTCCATCCCTGGTTTTGTTCTGACCCAGTTCTGTCTGGGTACCTGGCCCAGATTTGGCCCATATACTATAAAACGTGAAGAACTCATGGATGTGGCCCAAATCTGGCCCACACCCTGTAAAGTGAGTAGAACTAACAGATGTGGCCCAAATCTGGCCTGCATACTGTAAAGGGAGTAGAACTAAGGGATCTGGCCCAGCTCTGTCCCATATACTGTAAAGTGTGTAAGTTTAACAGCTGTGGTCCAGATCTGGCCCATACACTGTAAAAGAAGTACATACAATAGGTGTGGTCCAGATCTCGCTCATAAATATCACACAGTCATGGCTGAGTACCCACCTTGGTCCCCAGCCCAGATGTGGCCCTGCAGGATTTGACACTCATTTATTGCAGAACATGCAATATATTAGTAATATTTCTTCTTAATAATCAATAGGTGTCAATAGCCATTTCAGAATGAAAACTCCATGTTGATTTTGCTTAAATAAATAAAAAATATAAATGAATGAAGGAAAAAAGGCTTCATCTTGACAGCTGATTGTCTGCAGTCTCTGTGTGTACATCTTCAAGGACATATGCAGCTGACCATTCTGCAGACCACCAGCCTAGAGTCAAAGAGTACCATGTTTTCCACATTCATAAATACATTTTTCACAATATTTTTGCATGAATTTTAAACAATGACAGACAAAAGATTCTTAAGACAAGTGGAGAGGCCACTGAAATACAGGCTAAATCTGACATCTTCCTTTCAGCACTGTTCAAGTGGGTTTAGAATGTAATTTTTCAGACATTTTACTTTAAATCAGAGATGATAAAATGTCTAAAAAATTATACTTAAACGGTCTGTGGAATAAAAACAGTTGTCTATGTCCCTGAAGTATAGGTATCAACCCGTTCAGTGCACCGTTATAAAATATGTGCATTCATAGGTGCAAGCCAATTGTGTATGAGACACTGTTTTGCAGTTTAACTTGAGAAACAGCTACATTTTCTGATTCTGTATGCAATTATTAGTATGATTACCAGAAGATTTTTTTTTCACAGTAAACAAATACAGAACTGGATAAACTGCTGTTTTGCTAATGCTTTTATCCTATATAATGTTAAACATGGCCCCTTTCAGGGTTGTGCATTGGAATCCACTTTAGCAAGAGGTGGGTTTCTAAATCCACCTATGGTGGTAGTAACCTAAGAAGTTATGCAGTGATTTTTATAACTCCTTTCATCACGAGCCTCAGTGAGTATATTAGGATCATAATGCTTTGTTTTTCATACATCCATTTTCACCAGTGCAGAATCCATTAAACAAAACAAAAAAGCAAAAACATTTAGAATGTAGTCTAGACTGTTTATTGAGCATCATAATTATAAACTTTTTTTATAAATGTTTGTATAATTACAAAAGCAAATACACAAAACAGAAATGTTCTGGTCTACTGTAGATGAAACTCATACAATGGCTAATGAATACACAAGTTAATACAAGCTGTATTTTTATCAAATAATTACAAGAGCTAAATTTAGGTAATGTAAAAAAGTATGTTATTTTGTTAATTACATAACCTGTAGTTATATATATTAAGTAATATAAGTTTGAAGTAATTTGTTTTTCCAAATTATGTTTCCTGATAACATCGTTATTTTTTTTTTTTTGTGTGTGTGTCAAACTGTAAAACACCCTTTACCTGAAAATCTGGAAGAACACCACAATCAGCATTAGCATCAGATCTCTCTGCTGAATGTGCTCTGTCACTTTGGAAGTTGGTCCACTTCTGATAAAATCTGACTCTCTATCATTTATCTTCTGTCTGTGAAAAGGCCCCTGTCCAGCGCATTAGACTTTATTGAGTTGATTTGTGCTTGGACCCTGCGTGTTGCAACTATATTTAGTGTTAAATTTGCTTATGGTTGTGCTACATATGATGTTCAACATATACTTCATACTATCTGATATCTCTGAATAAATGTTATACAGACAGTGTGAGGTTGGTGGATGGTGACAGTCGCTGTGCTGGGAGAGTGGAGGTGTTTCATGATGATCAGTGGGGAACAGTGTGTGGTGATTACTGGGATATAAGAGATGCTGCAGTGGTGTGTAGAGAGCTGCACTGTGGAGAGGCTGTTAGTGATGCTAACTTTGGACCAGGATCAGGACCAATCTGGATGAAAAATGTGGGCTGTAGTGGATCAGAGTCTGCACTGAAGAACTGTAGATCAGCAGGATGGGGTGAACATTACTGTAATCATGATCAAGACGCTGGAGTCATTTGTTTAGGTAGGTTTTACTAAATTTGAGTACTTTGTTCACAGAGATTTATAATCAGCATTTAATAGTCAAAAATAAAATGACCATCATTGGCATTTCAGAAATTTCTAACTAATAACTAATATATTTCTTAAAACATCCAAATGGAACTTGGCTTACTCCTTATTGTTTATGGAAACTTTAAGTGCTTTTGTACATTTTTATTAAATATAATCTTATTAAATGTAATCTTGTCCAGTACTGCATAATCACTACTCTCTCGTATTTTAGGAGGAATCAGGCTTGTTAATGGTTCTCGCTGTTCTGGGAGAGTGGAGGTGCTTCATGGAGAGACCTGGTCCACAGTGTGTGATGCTGATTTTGACCAGCAGGATGCGGAGGTTGTGTGTCAAGAGCTGGGCTGTGGGCTTCCTGTGGAGGTGCTGGGAGCAGCTGCTTTTGGCAGAGGGGAGGGTCAGGTGTGGTCAGAGGAGCTTCAGTGTAGAGGCAATGAATCTCAGGTTCACTTCTGTCCAACATCATCTTCACTCAAACACAACTGCTCCCATGACAATGATGTGGGTCTGGTATGTGCTGGTAAGAGGAACATTTTCACTAATTGGTATTAAACTCTCTTGCAGATGTGCTACATATGATGTTTAGTGTATACTCTCTCTTGAATTCTGTGTATCTTTAAGCAAGAACAGGCCAAAAACAGGATCAAAATTTTATTGCAGTTATTACTACAGTTAATTTTATAGAAATGTGCCCTATATATATTATTAACTGAGTTGACTCCATAGATGACTGAAAAAGTAGACGTATTTGTTTATTAATATTGCCATCTGTGGAACTTGAAGCCTAAATCAAATCAAATGAACACAATGGGCAACAATTTCATTGCCAAACTGATCTGAGGTCAGCCGAGAGTCCGTGTGTCACAGATTATTGAGTAGTTTTGGGATGAAAGCTTTTCTGCCTAGTAGGCTACAACATAATTAGGACATTGCTGTGTCCACAATCTCATGATTGGAATCATGTAGAGGAAAAAAAATTTGTCTACTGAGGTTCAGAACTCAATGTTTTCATAGGTATGGCCATATGCATGAATATCTGTCTGTTCTGCCTTCTGTTATACAGACAATGTGAGGTTGGTGGATGGTAGCAGTCACTGTGGTGGGAGAGTGGAGGTTCTTCGTAGAGGACAGTGGGGAACAGTGTGTGATGATGGCTGGGATATGAGAGATGCTGCAGTGGTGTGTAGAGAACTGCACTGTGGAGAGGCTGTAGATGCACTGAGTGATGCTCACTTTGGTCCAGGATCAGGACCAATCTGGATGAATAAAGTTGGCTGTAGTGGATCAGAGTCTACACTGAAGAACTGTAGATCAGCAGGATGGAGAGAACATAACTGTGATCATTCTAAAGATGCTGGAGTCATCTGTTCAGGTAGGCTTTACAAAATTTCCATAATCTCTTTAACCCTTAGGGACAGCCACATGTTATATGTTGTTTTATTTTCAGAAGACATGTGGCTTCTCAAATATTTGATCACCTGAGTTGTAAATGCCCACAGAAGTTTGATATTTTTATGAAACTGGACATGTTTTGATCAAAATTTTACCAAGCGCCTGTTTTACTTATTTTTGACTAATTTTATTTAAACAGAATTAATTCACTAATCAAAAAATTCATAATTTCTGTTTTCAAATGTAAAATATTAGGAGTCAGGCTGGTTGGTGGTTCTCGCTGCTCTGGGAGAGTGGAGGTGCTTCATGGAGAGACCTGGTCCACAGTGTGTGATGCTGACTTTGACCAGCAGGATGCAGAGGTTGTGTGTCGAGAGCTGGACTGTGGGCTTCCTGTGGAGGTGCTGGGAGCAGCTGCTTTTGGCAGAGGGGAGGGTCAGGTGTGGTCAGAGGAGCTTCAGTGTAGAGGAAATGAATCTCAGATTTCCTTCTGTCCAACATCATCTTCACTCAAACACACCTGCACCCATGACAGTGATGTGGGTTTGGTGTGTGCTGGTAAGAGGCTGTATCTTCATCAATTAGTCAAACATTCAACATTGTAGTCTTACAATTTATATATCTTCAACATATGATTTTTTCTCTGATACTATGTCTTTCCTGGTAGAAATATTTCTCTCTGTTCTTCCTTTGTACAGACAGTGTGAGGTTGATGGACGGTGACAGTCGCTGTGCTGGGAGAGTGGAGGTTCTTCATAGAGGACAGTGGGGAACAGTGTGTGGTGATTACTGGGATATGAGAGATGCTGCAGTGGTGTGTAGAGAGCTGGGCTGTGGAGAGGCTGTAGATGCACTGAGTAGAGCTCAATTTGGACCAGGATCAGGACTAATCTGGATGGTTGATGTGCACTGTAGTGGATCAGAGTCTACACTGAAGAAGTGTAGATCACCAGGATGGGGTAAACATACCTGTCATCATGATCAAGATGCTGGAGTCATTTGTTCAGGTATGTTTTATTAAATTTCAGTGTTCTTCTCCATGAGGAAAAAATGTGTCCTTAACATTTAATTTTATAGTATTTAGTTTTATTAACATAATCATTACAAGTTCATAAATTGTAATAATAACCATACATACATATATATATATATATATATATATATAGGCTCCCCTGGTAATCATGATCAAAATAAACTCTAACAAGTGTTCTTGTTTACTCATGCCTCACATTCAAAATATCAGCAAAAATCCTGTTTTTTTAAGGTATAATGATTGAAAGAAAAAAACTAACCTTGTCATCAAATAAAATTTTTTCTTCAATCTGTTTTCCACAATTGTTGGCACCCCCAGAAATATATAAGAATGAAATCTAATATAAGAATATCCCTACTTTTATTTTATTAAGTTCACCTGAGTGATTATGAGCACTTATATAGTCAGACATGACTTCCTGATTCACAGGGTTATATATATAAAATAAAACACACACAAATACCCTCAGTCATCCATCATTATGATCCTTACTTATGCACAGTAAGGTAGATGGTATGAGTGTACAAAAAAATCTCCACCGATCACAGATGGGGAACTGCAGAAATTAGTTAGGTTTTGGGGTCAGAACGTTTCCCAACCCCCAATAAAGCACCACCTATATAACCACAAGTTGTTTAGAAGTTTGCCAGAAGAAAGCTTCTGCTGTCAAGAACCAACAAACTCAAGCATCTACAACTTTCAGTGGGGCCATGTTCTGTGGTCAGATGAGACCAAAATAGAGGTCTTTGGCAATAAATACCAGAGGTGAGTTTGGCTTGTACACAACGATAGCAATGCAGAAAAGTACCTCATCCCCACTGTGAAGTATGGTGGCGGATCTATGATGTTGTGGGACTGTTTTTCTTCCAAAGACCCTGGGCAATTTATTCAGATACATGGTATCACAGACTTCATCAAGTACCAACAGAACTTAAATTAATACCTGACTGCCTCAGCCGGCAAGCTTAACCCTCTGGGGTCTGAGGGCATTTTCTTGATTTTTCCAAATATTCTGAAATTCGTCTTTGAAGGCACTTGCACATGACTTGATGCTCACATATTACTGTATATATCAAAATGTTCAGAACAATCTCAGCTCTATATAATGAGACCCTTTTGACCTGGAGCACAATATCAACATAGCTTTACTTATTTGGGCAAATTGTTTTGGTGCTTAAAATGGGTTTACCAAAATCCTAGGCACACAAAAGTAGTGGAAGGTATGAATAAAATAGTAGATAAATGTTATCCTCAACGCTACTTTCCAAAAACGCTGCATCAACTTTAGCCGCTGCAAACTTTTTACACACCATTCGCGTCTATGTCCGAGGCGACTGAATAAAATGTGTTTTTGGCGTGATGGGTCCTTAGTAATTTCCTGAGTGTTCATTGGTCAGTTCGCAAAATTTAGACAGACACACAAATCCCCCAATTACAGGAGAGAGGCAGATGATGGACACACAAATCCACCAGTTACCACAGTGAGAGGCAGATAGCGTGTGTCTCAACTTGTCTTCATTGACTCATAACTCTGGATGTGAGTAATGTACGATCTTGCGACATGATGGAATCGAAAGGGCAAACTCTACAGATACAGGAACTCTTTGAACCGTGCAGTTCTGTGCAGTACTTGCAAAGATAATAATAAAAACACTTAGAAATATCTAACTTGTTGTGCCGGTGCATTTGTTGACCTCAGAGTGTTCAACTGGGCCATAGTTTGGATCCTCCTGCAGGACACAAATGTATAACAATTAGAACAATTAGAATTAGTTCACTGACCATCGAATTAACAACGTGAAGCTCAGAATCTGAAGGTTCTGGAGAGATTCGGTATGGAGGAGTGGTCTCAGATCTCTTGCCATGTGTTCTCCAGTCTCATTAAGCATTATAGGAGAAGACTCAGAGGTGTTGTCTTTGCAAAGAGATGCTGCACAAAATATTAAATGAAAGGGTGACAATAATTGTGGCACACACAGATTTGAGAAAAAATATTTATTTCCTGATAAGATTGAGGTTTGTTCTTAATCACTGTACTTCAAACAAAAGTTAGATTTTTGTTAGTATTTTGAATGAAAGATCAAAAGGATGAACAAAAAAACAATATAAACAATTTACACACACATATTATATCAGGAGTCAGGCTGGTTGGTGGTTCTCACTGCTCTGGGAGAGTGGAGGTGCTTCATGGAGAGACCTGGTCCACAGTGTGTGATGCTGACTTTGACAAGCAGGATGCAGAGGTTGTGTGTCGAGAGCTGGGCTGTGGACTTCCTGTGGAGGTGCTGGGAGCAGCTGCTTTTGGCAGAGGGGAGGGTCAGGTGTGGTCAGAGGAGCTTCAGTGTAGAGGCAACGAATCTCAGATTTACTTCTGTCCAACTTCTTTTTCGCTCAAACAAAACTGCACCCATGACAGTGATGTGGGACTGGTGTGTGCTGGTAAGCACTATTTGTATTTGTATTTGATGTTTAACATGAACATCTTTCTAAAGTTATACCAGTAATGACATAAGATTCTCTGCAGTTTCCCTTAATTTCATGAATGTAATTAATATGATTTTCTATAGAAGTATTACTGTGATTCCTGCTTCTTTAACATTTTTCCCAGCACTGCTATAACTTTTCAGACCCTTTTCTGATGTGGAGCTGAAATTTCTCTCTCTCTCTCTCTCTCTCATACAGACAGTGTGAGGTTGGTGGATGGTGGAAGTCACTGTGCTGGGAGAGTGGAGGTTCTTCATAGAGGACAGTGGGGAACAGTGTGTGGTCATGGCTGGGATATGAGTGATGCTGCAGTGGTGTGTAGAGAGCTGGGCTGTGGAGAGGCTGTAGATGCACTGAGTTATGCTCACTTTGGACCAGGATCAGGACCAATCTGGATGAATTATGTGGACTGTAATGGATCAGAATCTACACTGAAGATCTGTAAAGCACAGGGATGGGGTAAACATGACTGTCATCATGGTTCTGATGTTGGAGTCATCTGCTCAGGTAAACTTCAGTCAGTCATTTTTCATGAATGAACATAACAGCGTCAATACCATAATATCAGATTCATTTTCTAAAGAGTTTTGTTAACTTGAATCTTTTATATCAGTGGCTCTCACAGAAGGTACATAAAAGTAATTGTAAAAAAGGTGAAATAAATAAAAAATATTATCATGAAATAAACATTAGTCTAATTAATTCATCAAGGAACTATGCTTCTGTCTGGATCCATGTTCAGAATGAACAATCAGCCTAATGTGAATGTTGAAGGCAAACCACAAAGACTAGAATCCACCTAAATGTCATTGTAATGTCAATGTCATTATAACTTTAAAAAATTACTTTTGTACATGGGTCAAGTTTTATAAACCTACTATTTTTTTCTAAACTGTGCTAAGTGTTAATGCACTTCAAATACTCACAGGTCACAGAAAGTCCAGACTTACTGGTGGTCCTCATCTGTGTTCTGGGAGAGTGGAGGTGCTTCATGAAAAGACCTGGTCCACAGTGTGTGATGCTGACTTTGACCAGCAGGATGCAGAGGTTGTGTGTCGAGAGCTGGGCTGTGGGCTTCCTGTGGAGGTGCTGGGAGCAGCTGCTTTTGGCAGAGGGAAGGGTCAGGTGTGGTCAGAGGAGCTTCAGTGTAGAGGCAACGAATCTCAGATTTACTTCTGTCCAACATCACCTTCACACAACTGCACCCATGACAGTGATGTGGGATTGGTGTGTACTGGTAAACAATACATTTTTAATTGAGATTCACTTCAACAAGATTTATTTTTAAAATATAAATATTTTTCCACTGCTTGTCAAAGTAGATGGCATTGAATTACCTTATCCATGATCATGATTTTGATCCAGGTCACACTCAGGCTCAGTTGTTAAATGGCTCTGACTCCTGTTCTGGTCGAGTGGAGCTCCAGTACCTCAGTGAGTGGGGCACAGTGTGTGACATAAGCTGGGATATGAGAGCTGCCAGTGTCCTCTGTGGTCAACTGAAGTGTGGGAGTGCTGTGGCTGTGTTGGGGTCAGGCTGGTTTGGGGAGGGGACTGGCCAGATCTGGGCTGATGTGTTTGATTGTCAGGGGAATGAAACACACCTGTCAGAATGTCCCATTTTATCATGGAGTCGATCTGCATGCTCACATAAACAGGATGTTGGAGTCATCTGCGGTGGTGAGATCTCAGAATCATGTAGTCCATCTCACAGTAATATACACCATGTCAAAAATGCCTGTTGAAGTCTGAGGAACCTTCAATAAAATATGAAGTGTTAAGAAGAAGTTCAGAAAGTTAACTGATTATTTCCTCTGCAGGTTCCTCTCTGGCATTACATAAGGGGCGAGTGCGGTTGTCTGGAGGGATGGAGTGTGAGGGGGAGGTGGAGGTGTACTTCAGGCAGGACTGGAGGAGAGTTCTGCTGGACTCCTGGAGTGAGTCTGAGGCCTCTGTGGTCTGCAGACAGCTGGGCTGTGGCTCTGTGTTCAGCTTCTCCAGCTCCTTTCCACCCAGTCCTGAACACAGCAACATGTGTGTGACAGGTTTCAATTGTTCAGGGAGTGAAGCTCATCTGGGGAACTGCAGCAGTGCACAAGCAGTCAACTGCAGCTCCAGAGAACAGCTCTCAATCACCTGCTCTGGTAAAAATTACAATCAGACATCACTCTTATCTAAATCTGACGTGTTCCAGTATTATTGCCCATTGCTTATTATCTGTACTATTGTATTGTTACACTCAGAATTTCAGTTCTCTTATATCTGTGTTTATGTCTGTGTGTGTGTGTGTGTGTGTGTAGGTAAGTTTAATCCAGCTCACAGCTCCATCAGGCTGGTTGGTTCTGGGGGAGGCTGCGCAGGAAGGCTGGAGGTTTTCCACAGCAGCTCATGGGGGACAGTGTGTGATGACTTTTGGGATATTAAGGATGCACAGGTGGTGTGCAGACAGCTGCAGTGTGGAGTGGCCCTCAGTGCTCCAGTACCAGCGCAATTTGGACCTGGAAATGGACCCATATGGCTGAATGAGGTGGAATGTGAGGGGAATGAGGCATCCTTGTGGAGCTGCAAATTTCAGCTATGTGAAGAGGACGAATGTGGACACAAAGAAGACGTAGGGGTTGTGTGTTCAGGTAACGTGATATTACAATATTGATTCACTAAATCATTTATTTACACAATTTTCCTCTCACCCCAGATGTAGGCATTCAGGAAAGACACGTTTGGTGTGCTCCGTTCTTCAGTTTTACTGAAGAGCTACAAGGTCAATGGAAGTCTGTGTTAAGAGTAAAAATTTTGGGTTACCTAGCCTTCCACCACTTGTTAGCTATGTTTAGGTATGTGCACAAATAGCCGTGTGCACAGACAGACGCCAGGTGGTCCCACGAATTGTCTGTGCCTGGCTACATTAGCCTCATTTTGCAGCAAACTATTTCATTAAGGACATTATTGTTTGTACATGCAATGAAGTATAATTATTCTTTTGAGGGAATACTAGATATTTAATTTCTATAGAATAAACATTATAGAATTATAGAATTCCTAAAACTTCCCAAAAACATGTTCATTTAAAGGCAAAGTTTAGCATAAGTCCTTATCCCAACAGACTTTAAAGAGATCAGACTCACTGAGGGCTGTGAGGGGAATCTGGAAGTGTTCTACAATGGAACCTGGGGTAATGTGTGTGTAAATGGGATGGATGAAGAAACAGCAAGTTTGATCTGTCAGGAGCTGAACTGTGGAAGATCTGGCAGTGAGTTCTGGGCCAAAGCAAGAGTGGAATCAGCTCCTAACTGGCTGGATGATCTGAAATGTAGGAGACATGACTCCACTCTGTGGCATTGTCCATCTTCCCCCTGGAAACAGAACTACTGTGATAAAAACAATGAGGTGGCTCACATTACCTGCTCAAGTAGGCAACTTTTAATGTTCTTATGAATTTTCCCTGTGTGTGCTAAACATAAATCACATCAGGAATAAATCTGGCTTCATTAGATAAGTTAAAGCACCAGCTGAACAGAATTAAAATATATAAGCAAACAGCTTTATATATTTAGTGGCTAATGAAAGACCTTACCATATTCGTAGAAGATGAAAATGATCGTCTGTTACGAAGCCATCTGAAAAGCTCCTCATCTCTTCATCACAGAAAGTGCTCAAGTAAGTACACTTGCAAACAAACATGATCAATATTTCAATAAGTAAAATATTAAAGTGTCACATATGTTAGACACGTTATTCCTTCACACAAATATTAATGGCCTTTGAATCAGTATATTGTACTGAGTGAATTGAGAGAGTGAAAATTTACACTTTATAGCTGTATTGTTACTCTGTGTGCTTATGCTGGTTTATCATTGTCATCTTCTCTTGTGTTATATGTGCGATGTAGACCACCTCCCTCTCAGGCTGAGGGGAGGAAAGGGAAGTTGCTCTGGGAGGCTGGAGGTGTATCATAACACTGAGTGGGGCTCTGTCTGTGATGATCTCTGGAACATAAGGGATGCTCAGGTTGTCTGCAGGCAGCTGGGCTGTGGGCCGGCGCTGAGTTCTGATGGGAGTGCTGTCTTTGGTGCTGGTGAAGGGCCTATCTGGCTGAACAGAGTGAAGTGTAGAGGGAATGAGATTCACCTGTTGGACTGTCCTCATTCCCTGAAGAACCACACTGACTGCTCCCACAGGAAAAACGCTGGAGTCACCTGTGCAGGTCAGAGGAGTCTGCTGGATTTTTTAGTTTTTGACTCCAATCAAAACTCTTTTATTACAGTTTTAGAAATCTGGAAGTCTTTATTAAATGATGCATTGATTATTTATATACAATTATATTAAACTTTAATTTAAAAATGAATTGAAACTTCTGTTTCTGCATTTACAGACATATCTGTGCCTTCTACTTCTATACCCATCACAACAACCACTCCTCCCCAAAGTGTTCCACCAGTTGTTCCATCCATCTATCCAGTGTCTCTCCTGGTTCTGGGAGCAGTGCTCTTCCTGGCCTTAGTGCTTCTGGTTGTGCTGTTTTACCAGAACAGAGTGTTCAGGAGAGGTAGAGAGATTCAGAGATCATCTACAATCCACTTCCTGTACATTCTCTAAACATCATTAGTCCTTCAATCTGTCATCAGTCTTCTCTTCTACTGAACTGGCTCCATGTTTCTCTCTGTCTCCCTCACAGTGCTCTTTAAGAGGAGATGTAAGGCTCTGACTGAGGCAGTCTATGAGGAGATCAACTGCAGATCCATCACTAAAAGAAATGGCTTGATTCAAAAAGGTGAATGATATATGGGGTGCTCTAAAGGAAGCATTCATGAATTATTAATGTATATTTACATTTGAGATCATGGAACACACTGCAATGCATGCTCATTTGCCCAAAGCTATATGTAATCTTTTCAATGAATGATTTCTTCAGTATAGCTGAATCAGTTAAATAGGAGTTAAGTGTTTAAGTGTATAGACAAAATGTGCAGTTAGAGCAGATCTACATGTAGTGTAGTGTGCTGGTTCTGCTGATAAGCATCTATTATGCAGCTGAAGTTAAACTGTATCTTGACTGACTGAGTGTCCGACTGACCTTGTTTAAGATAGAGTGTAAAAGTGACTGATTGAGTAAACAAGTAACCGTATGAGTGATCGAGTAAGTGTTCAAATGAGCAATCAAGTGAGCTATTAAGTGACCAACAGATCGAGTGAGTGAGTGCCTGAGTGAGTAGGTGAGACAGTGACCAAGTAAGTGAATGAAAGACTGAGCGAGGCCGAATGAGTGACCAAGTGACTACATGATTGACAAAGTTTTTGAGTGTGTGACCGAATGACCAAAAGACCAAGTATGTGACCGAATGTGTGACCTAGAGACTGAGTGACTAAGTTTGTGACCAAGTGAGTGAGCAAGTGGGTTAGTCAGTCAGTCAGTCAGTGAGGATTGACTAATGTGTCTGAGAGCTCCCTCTACTGTCTGCACTGATATTATTTCTGGTAACCAACCCAGTTCACAATGATCCACAGCATGTTTGTGGGTAGTTCTGCATTCTGAACATGTTTGATGTCTGTTCTGCTCTCCTCTAGCAGGAAGTATCCCCTCTGAAGAACAGCATTCAGAATTTGAGACTGTGGATGAGGAGCTTCTCTCAGGTAAGAGGATCAGAGCATGTGTTAAACTCCATTCAACTGAGCAATATTACAATCACCATTTAGAAATAAGACAATTCATTATAAAACTATGTTTCTTAAGTCAAGTTTTGTTTTTATGCCAAAGACATTTAGGTGCAGAGTAAATCCAATATTTACAAAAGTTTTACATTTTACATGTACTTTTTCATTTATATTTAGGTCATTAGCATTTATTTACATATACAATCTAAGGCTTATTATTCACTAATTACATGGAAAACACTGCATGCTGGCAATTTGCATTATTGAATTATTAACACATCTGGACCCACTAGCAGTCCTGGCCATTAAATGGGTTAATTTCTTTGGTTTATAATTGCACCTATACCGCTGTACAACTCTTCATACTTCTGACCACTGAGGTCTGAAATTTGATTTCAGACTAAAAGTGCTCTAACTAATGTTGATGTTGCATTAATTATTTCTCATTTAATGTTTAGCTGTGGGTCTGTTTACATTGCCAGGGTCTGAAATGCCCACACATTTATGATCAGATAGAGAAGATGAGTTTTTCTAGCTTTAAACTTCATGTAAATTATAGCTTAAGTTAATTGGTTGGTTAAAGATCATCAAGTCACATGTCTTTTGATCATTGAGATATTTGCAATCAATTTAATATCATAATATAAAGATTGCAATTTGTTGGTAAAGTCAGTCTGTTTTTATTTGATTTAGGTGAATCAGCAAAAGAGGACACAGCAGAGAACTATGATGATGTCATCACTGCTGGACAGATCTCTGATAGTGTAGCAGGTGTGTTTCTGTTTTGGTTTTAGTTTAGAAAGAAGTGGAAATTAAGTAGAGAATTCTTTGAGAGTAGAATAATCAAATGCATGTGATTGTATTTACTTTATGTTGGTGTTTACAGCATATGTTTATCACACCTGTGGAATCTAGTCCAAAATTAATTTATTGTTTTATTACTTATTAAATTACAGTGTTTCTAAGTATTCAGTTCATGTTTTAAATGAAAATTAATTATCAGACTCTAAACCTATTCAAAGTTGATAGTTCTGAGTGCTAATGTTAGCCACAAAGACTTATTTTTATATTAGGCTTATATTATTATATTGTTTAATGATCATAGCTGAAACACTTAAAACAACTGTGTATAATTTGATTGTTGATCCTTGATACATATCTCCGTGTTTTGGTGTAGAGGACGTAGCAGAGAATTATGATGATGTCATCACTGCTGATCGGAACCCAGCTTTTGTAACAGGTTTGATTTACAGGGCTACTTTCCCAGACATGGATTAAGCCTAGTCTTAGAATTAAATTACAATATGAATGGTGAATCACTGTTAAAAACACATTTTAGTCTAGACTTAGGCCTAATCTGGGTTTGGGCAACTGGCCCTTCATGTAACAGTACTGTAATCACATGAACACAGTCACTGATGATGCTGATGCTGATGTAATGACATTTATCTCTTCATTTTGACAGAAGACATGACGGATATCTATGATGATGCTGTTACCACTGAACCAAACTCCTACATTATGACAGGTCTTAATATTGACAATTCATTTTCAACCGCAGCTTCAGCACAGTAAAAACATCAGATTTGTTGGTTATTAATATAATTTGTTTTTCCATGTCATAGTAGTGGGCACACCAGAGAATTATGATGATGTCACCGCTGCTGGATGTAGGAGGGGTAAAAGGTGAGTGGCTGATCTTGTTGTGGATGTACATGAGTGTGGGAAGTCTGCTGAAAACATGTTTACATTATCTATAGCAAATGATGGAAATGCCAGTGTCTTCACTATTGTGATGTGGGGCAGAGGTTTTATTTACTTCTACACTCTGAAGTACAAACTCTTACACAGCAGAGTTTAAAGGTTCTTCCTGAAAGCTTGAAAATGACTAGTGCAACCCTGCCATCTGGACAGGACGGGAAATAAACTTTCCTCTCTACCTGTTTAAGGGAGGTTCACACTGCAGACTCCAGCTTTTCTAGCAATAGGGATGCTTCAATACCAATATTGGTAAAAGATATTAATTCAATACCATGCTGATTTACTTGTACTAATAAAAAATGCAACCAACATCCAATATCAACTGATACCGTATGACGTAAGTCTAGTGTACTCTGTCGCACTAATAAGCAAACAACACAAGCTGGCAATGAACGATGATCTGCTTACACAGCGAAGTATTGCATCTGATTGCCATGGTAATCACATGCAAAGTCTGTCACTTTAAACATTCTGCCTTTGCATATTCCCCCCAGGCATACATATCGCAATAGTAGCCTGTTTTTAAGCACACACAAACACATCCACTTCCCCTGCTCATGTAGACTAACAAAACAGAGCCAAAAAAGTTGACATTTGTGGTACTAAAGTCTGTATATGCCAACATTATTCTGTTTGCCAGGTATAAACATTATACAATTATTGATTTTATAAATTGTCTTCGCAAAATAGGCTGTAAAGAGGATAGATCATCCTACCAGTGTACAGCACCACCTGGTTTTAGTTTCAGGGCATTATGTGGCACAAGTTAGTAAAGCTGCTGTAGCACAGTTTCTCAGGATTTTTGCCCAGAACTCGGGTGCACTGTGTATTGTTTTTAATGAAACACCCTTATTGGGAATTGTCCATAGACAGGTCCGTCTGTAGGTATTGCGTTTCACATGCAGTGTGAGCACCCAAGTTACAGCATGTCAATCAGAGCATTTTTGTATTGTGTGCATATAAATTGTAGGCTCTGTCTATACATGATGGTCTAAGAAAGGTCACAGAGGTACACTTGTATGGGAAAGTGAAAATCAATATGAGCATGGAAGCTGGTGTAACTTAACTAGTACAGGAATTATATGAACACAAGGTGGAGTATAAGTAAGAACTGCTGCACCTTTTTTGCACATACTGAAGTGTCTAAAGAGATTTTGCAGGTAAACCTGCATAAAGACCTTTACAATAGTCCAACCTGCAAGAAATAAATGCATGTACAAGTTTCTCAACATCAGAAGGTGGTAGAAATGCCCTAAGCCTGGCAATATTACAAACATAGGCCATGGTATATTCCCTAATAATATTCCCCAGAGGTAAAATTTAAATACTGAACAATAATGATCCAAGGATTGGTCTTTGTGGGACACCCTGACAGACTTGTGTGGTGTGAGATTTATCACTGCCCAACGACACAAACTGAGAACGAATAGAAAGGTGTGATTCAAACCAAGTGTGTGCAGTAATAGGTATTTCTAGCCATTTTCCATCTGGTCTAGCAGAAATGTGTGACA